TTGTTTACTTTTCCACCCAAAATTAAAATTTATCAACGCCTTTACTTTTCCACCCGATACTTATTTTTATAAAATTATTTTTAATATTTATTTCTCGCATAATATTCATAGTAAATAAATTTTATTATGTCATTTTGGCTTTGAGTGAATGAGACAGACTTAAAGAACTTGAAGAACTCATTTTTTTTTATTTTTTTTGAAAAACTGCAAAATTGGTCCAATCTAACGTCCTCACACGAGCCCCGTTAATATTGACGGACGTGGGACCATTTTGGCAACGAAAATTCAAAAAGGACCACAATTGACGTGCCTGGGACTAAGTGTGAGAAACAACAAAAGTTTTGGGACCAAATTTGTAATTTTCTCATTCGATATAATATACAACTCACTTCAAGAAGAAGTTCGAAAACCTACCCCCAAATCCAAATCGAGCACGTCCACCGCCAACCAGCCTCTCACGGTCCTCTGCTAATCGGCTTGCCCTCGCCCCGCTTCAGTCCCGACGTCCCTCAGCTACTCTGTAATTCGGATTGTTGGCAATGGCAGATATCGGAATTGTCTCAAACACCACCACACATTCGATTCCCGATAAAGGTCAGCCACTCTGCAACAACGACAATTTGATGCTTCTGGTGCGGCATTTACATGACGACGGAACCCTCGATTGCTCCCTTATCTCAACCCAAAACAACAACTTCAAAGTGATGCGACAAGATGATGTTGAATTCCTGAATCTACTCAAAGAGGATTACCTCGATCCCAGTATCCACAACACCTTTTATAGTGTTCATGCAACTTGCAACTCGTGGATGCTGTTGACATGTTGGGATACTCCAGATGACTTTCTGTGGAACCCCACAACCGGCGAGATGATAGGTCTTCCGCATTTTGCTTTGGCTTGCCCAACTTTTTCGGACCATTGGGCTTACGGGCTCAGGTTTGATCCTGCAGGGGACACCTGTAAGGTGTTGAGAGCTCGCGTGATATACAAATATACTTCGGATGAGGAGCTTTATGTTGAGCTGTTGTCGTCCGCAAGTAATTCGTGGAAGCGAATTCCGTGTCCTCACGACCCCAGTATTGATCCCGATCAAGAATCTTCTCTTTACATCAATGGCTTTTGTTATTGGCCAACTGGTGAGGATAGCATTCTTTCGTTTGACTTTGCTGAGGAGAGGTTTGGCCCTCTGATCCCCAAGCCCAAGAGCGATAAGTTCCCCAATGCCACTGTATCCAATGGCACCGCTCATCTTGTCGAGTATGATACATCGCTTGCTGCTGTTGTTTTCGAGTATGGTAAATGTCTGAAGAACAACAGAGTAAATAGTATTCCTCCTGCTGCTGAAAGGAGGAAGTCTTTTGTTTTCGAGATTTGGGTGTGGAGGAAAGAAGCTGCCGCCACGTGGTCTTGCGTGTTCACAGGGGAAATCGATGCTTCTGTTGATAGAGTATTGGGCCTCTGTAAGAACCGTAAACTGCTTCTCGAGGGCTTGTATGGTGACCTATTGGTTTACGACCTTGAAACAGCCCGAGTGGAGAATCTCGGTATCCGTGATGAGGGTATGGGTCTGATGGTCTTCCCTTATGTTGCCAATGCCGAACCCACCTACATATCCTTCTTGAAAAATATCTCGTCTGCCTCCACTTGTACTGTCGCTGGTGTTCCTACTACTATTCGGGCGCATACTCGCGATTTGACGCCTAATGATTGTCTGATGCTTATGGTGCACTGTGTACTCGACCGGACCCGCATTCACTATGTAATCTCAACAGAAAACAACTCGTTCAAATTGCTACAAGATGATGATAATCGTCTTCCAAACCTGTCTCGACTCAAAGCTGAAAACTACGATCTCGATTGTAACAATGCCAAATATGATGTCTTAGCGAGTTGCAACACATGGATGCTGTGCATATATAACGAAATTCCCTCAGAATCGGGTGTGCTTCTGTGGGACCCTAGGACCGACGTGCTTGTAACCCTTCCTAGTTTTCCGGTGGAGCCGCGCATGCCTCATTCAGTTTTCCAGTACGTGGGGGTTTACGGCATCGGGTTTGATCCTTCTGCACCTGAGGACTATAAGGTGGTGAGACGTTGCGTGTTTGAGTATTTTCATTCCGACGACGAAGTCCACGCGCAGCTATTTTCGCTTGAAACTTGGAAGAAAATTCCGTATCCCCATGATCTTGAGTGGAAGGTAAGTGAGTACCACTCACTTTTCATTGATGGCTTTTATTATTGGAGAGCAAAGAATTCCAGCAAAGAAGATGTTGCTATTATTTCGTTCGACTTTGCTAAGGAGGAGTTTCCCCCTGCTCTAATTCCTATGCCCAGTACCGAAATTCTCTGGGACTTCTATTGTGATTGTGTTTGTATTGCCGAGTTTCATGGGCTGCTTGCTGCTATTGTTTCCGATTATCATGGACAGGATGACACAAGTATGAATATCGATTGTCCAAGACAGCAGCAGCAGAAGAAGATGAAGACGAAGAAGAATATCCTGAAGAAGATAAAGAAGAAGAAGAAGAATATCCTGAAGGAGATGAAGGCGAAGAAGAATATCCACAAGAAGATGAAGAAACGTGCGCCTTTTATTTTCGAGATTTGGGTATGGAAGAAGGGCATCTGGTCCCATGTATCCACACACACAGTCTTTCGTCCTACTCGTGCTGTTTTTACGAGCGTCGTCGGCCTCTACAAGAATGATAAAGTGTTCCTTCAGGACTCGGAGCGTTACCTATGGCTTTACAATTGTGAGACGTCCGAGCTGGAGAACCTCGACATCCGTGACAATGGCGAGTTTAGGACTCTGGCGGTCTACCCTTATGTTTGAGAGTGATCCATCTACATGTGGAAGTAAGTGACATCTCTTAAACGTGCTTTTCTGGCTATCTAACAAATTGAAGTATCATTTTTCGAGACAGGATGTTTGTTTTAGTTGATAACAACTAGTTTAGCTCATAACAAATTGACGACCCTCGCGCGAGACAGGATATCGATATCAAATAGAAGATCTCTCACATAATTTATGCGCATGTGTTTTATAGCATTGTGCACTACTACTTGCTATCCAAGGCTTAACATGATATTGTCTGTTTTACCCTATCCATTCATTTGATCATTTTTACAAACTCTATTTTAGGTCTGTCCATCAGTTTTGGTAGTTGGAATTCTCCATTTAATGTAACATTAAATCAAGTACATGTTACCTTGTAGCAGGTCGGGTTCGGGTATGGTGGTTGCCAACACCTGTGTCCAACCTGACCACTCTGCATTCCTATAATCATTCTGTAAAATTTTCAAAATATATATATGTGTATATATTATAAATCATTTTGTATGTTAACTTAATTTAAAGTCCTCCATAATCATTTTATTTGTTACAAATTATACTCAAAATTCAGACACTTTCTAACTCAATTTGAAAATATTTCTAGTTCTTCACTTTAATTTTCAGTCTATTTATTTTAAATTTATTAATGAGTACCCTAACCAAATATTTAGTAGTTTTTGTACTTAATTTTTGTTCTTGATTTTTTTACTTAATTTTGTATATAATTATATATTTTGACTTTCTTTTTATTTAAAAGGGGTTCTATAACTTCTGATCAACAAAATACTTGTGTAATATGCAATAAGAATTCATATCAAGTAATTTTCTCAACCAAAATATGAATTTTTGTTAGTTCTAGATATTGAACTTGAATAAGTTAGATAAATCTCATAAATATATTGGATATCACTTGTGAGTTGTCTCACATTGATTCTATAGGACAAATAAGCTAGTTTTAACCTCGAGTGGACTACTTTTGTCATCACTAATTGACAACTAGCTCATCCTCTTAAGGTGCGCTTCACTTCTATGGAACCGAACCCTTTCTCCCGAATCTGTAATTTAACATTGTATCATAATTGGATTGATCTAGGACCTACAAATGATTTGATCCATCTAGCCAACCCATCTAGCCAACTATGGGTATGTTCCTGACTTGACTTATGAAGGACTTAGAAGTGAGAGACGTTTAGGAATATCACATGTGAGGTCTCACATTGATTCTATAGATCAAATAAGCTAGTGTATAAGTCTCCATGTTTTAAGTACCGTACCGTACCGGCCGGTAATACCGGTACGGTATAATTACACTCAAAATACCGGATTTACGGTTATACCGGTTTGTACCGGGATCATGCCGCAAAAACCGCGAAAATACCGGTCCAAAATACCGGTCAATAAAAATAAAATTAAAAAAAATTAATTTAAAAAAATAAAATTTAAATTGGTAGTTAAAATGTTTAATTTTTATCTCATTGAGAAGTTGTAAATAATGATTATGGTCATTTATTTTTTACTTTTTCGCATTTGATATTATATATTTTTATGTATATTTATATATATCATTATATTTGCTAATCCGGTAATACCACCGATTTTAGCGGTCCTACCGGTAATACCGCGTACCGGTGGCTTGACCGGTATGACCACCGGTACGGTATTAAAAACACTGATAAGTCTAACGGACTACACCTCCAATCGAATTGAAATTTGTATAAATGAATATAACATACCCTTTTATAACGATTAGTTGATTTGGCGTGGGTAAATTTTCGATAAATGTGTCGATAAAAAATTCTTTATCTATCATCATAAATTTGGTGTGGGTAAGCGTGGGTAAAATTTGCTTGTAAAAATTGATAAGATCGGTAATGCACTATAAGAAAATGATGAAATTCTAACAAAAATATTGTTAAGATATGCTTTAGTTATTTTGTTAAGATATCTTCGGTTTGATATGATCTTGATTTGGTAGTAGTTAGTTTGGTAATTATATATTTGATTTGATCTTGATTGGTTTTAGATCTCTTGCAACCTCTATATATTGGATGTAATCTCAATAAATGAAAAATACACATCTTTCTCTCTTAGTTTTAGCATGGTATTAGAGCCATGGTTTTTCACCACCACTGTTCTGATTAATATATATTTTTTTTTTCTTCAGTCATGTCTTCTTCTCTCCGGACTGCTCTCCGGGTACGAAAAAAAATAATTCTGGTTCTTAGATGGTTCAATTCCTCCTCCATTAGATGGGTTCTTAGATGATTAAATACAATTGATCAAGTCATTTGGTCCTCTGTCCTCTGTCCTTTAGTCCTTCAATCCTTTGGTCCTTCGGTTCTTTAGATATGAAATACAATTGATCAAGTCTTTCGGTCATCTGTTCTTTTGGTCATCTGTCCTTCAGTCCTTCAATCCTTCGGTCCTCTTATCGCTCCTGATTATGTTTCTAACAAAGCTCAGCTAGTAAAATTGTCCCCAAATTTTCCACCAAAATTGTCAATTTTTCGACAATGAAGAAGATTTCAATCCTAAGCTCAGCTAGCATTAGGGTGGCTACAATGAAGGAGAAGATTTCAATCCTAATGTCCCCAAAAGCTGGGTCAGCTCCAACCTGATCTTAATTTTTCGACAATGATAAATATATACTAATAAAAAATATTTTAGTTCATGTTATATTCGGTTAGCCCTATGTTAATCTTATTTTTGCCCAAAATAAATTAAATTTATTTTTTTAGATTAAATCAATGAGTTATATACTTACACATAATTCAAATTCTTTCCACTTTTTTTTTAGCTTATTATGCCTTTTTTTCTTCTTGTTTTTGGGTTTATTTTTTGTTATTTAGTTAAATTGATTCCACTGTTCATTTGATTAATTATGTACAAGACAATATTTGATTGTGATAGACTTTCATTAAGATATTTAGTATGTAACTAAATTTATGAATTTCAAATAAATGATATTTGAGTATCTGAAATGTAGTATCTCATTAATTTGTGTTGCATATTCAATGAAATGACATAAGAACTTTAATGACATGTCATATAACAAGAATGACGGATTGTTACACCATGGCATAGTAGTCTTTTTAATAAATTATGTTATTTTTCAAGCTAAACTCAAGTATATGAGAAAAAGTATTTTTGCAGTTTTTCAAGAAAAATAATAAATCAGTTATTAATCATTTATCATATAGATAAGGAAGTAGTTAAATTTCTAAGTTTTAGTAAGGGTCATCTACTGATTAAACCAAACTAGAATGTGTATTAATTGATATATTTATTTTACATTGCAAATTTAATATTTAATATTATTTAGTATGGGATCATGTAATTTGTATTATGTAAAAATTATTTTCATGCAGTGACTTCTTTATAAATGCATCTAGCTAGATAATTTGAGTCGAGTATTTCATGTTCAAAATTGTGCTTATTCAATAAAAAAGTTGGTGTGGGTCAGCATGTTTAATAAACAAACAAAAATGTGAGCTCGAGTTCAACTCGTATAAACTTGGTTCGACTCATTTAGTGAACCACAAAACCTAGATCAAACCCAAAATTCTAATTGAGTTGATCGAGAAGATGTTCATCTCCATTCTTTTCATAGACAAACTCGATTAGATGTTTCAGTTTTGACCGTTTAAATATATAAGCGAGTCAAGCTTGTCATATAAGCGGACAACCCGATTCAAATAACAACTCACAGTTTCAGAGGGTGAAAAAATTTTCTGGCTACGACCCTAACCAGGCTTGTTTAGTAATCACACGAATACGAACTCGTACGTAAACGTTCGATAATATTCGCAAAATTTAATATTACATATATATATATATATTATTTTATTTTTGTATATTTGTACAATATTTTTAATAAAAAATCTAAAGTGAAGTATCTTTATTTTATTTTAAATTTTCAAGCTCCAACGAAACGAACACATTTCAAGTTAATCAAATAACTTTATAGGTTATCTAAATTTTAGAACAAAACTCAAACTTTAACAGACAATTAAACGAACGAGCTCGAACACAAATTTTCGCTCGAAAACAAATGGACGAACACGACTAGTGTTCAAACATAAATGAACACAAGCTTTAAATCCTCAAGCTCCGCTCGTTCGTTTCGATTACAGTGATAAAACCATTATATTTCTTGCAGAAACCGAAAGTGGAGACCGATCGAAACAACAATCTTGCCGTAAAAACGACCCACGCCATCAAATCGAAACCAGCGGCTCTCTCGTCCATCGACCTCCCTCCGTTGGTAGCCACCCTAAAAGCTTCGTCGGAGAGGAAAGCCGTCGCCTTTCACTTTCCAGGACACAAAAGGGGAGAAGCCGCGCCCTCGGCCCTAACCGACCTCATCGGTCCACACCCTTTCTTTCACGATGTGACCGAGATTCCGGAGCTCGACATGTTCTTCAGCCCAAAGGGCCCACTTTTGGATGCCAAGAATCTCGCGGCCGACCTATTTGGAGCGAAAGAGACGTGGTTTTTGGTCGGCGGCACGAGCTGTGGGGTCCAAGCTGCCGTGATGGCGACTTGCTCGCCGGACGACACGATTGTCCTGCCGAGAAACGCGCACGTGTCAGCCACCACCGGAGTCATACTCTCGGGTGCCATCCCGAAATACATCGTCCCGCAACGTAGCCTCGATTGGGACATTGCTGCCGGGATCACGCCTTGGCAGGCTCGTTTTTTCGCGGTTTTATCATTNAAAACAGAAATCCCCTGAATCAAACAGTGACTCTGACTCAACTATATTTTTTTTATCATTACAGGTGGAAATAGCAATAAAAGAATCGAAAATGGAAGGTCGAAAATTAGCTGCGGTTTTCGTCACGTCCCCGACATACAACGGCATATGCAGCGACGTGGCCGGAATCTCGAAAATTTGCCGGTCGGAAAGAATCCCTCTGATAATCGACGAGGCCCACGGGGCCCACTTCAAGTTCCACCCAGAAATGCCAAAAACGGCCCTCGAACAAGGCGCGGACATCTCGATACAGTCAACACACAAGGTCCTCTGCTCGTTGTCCCAATCGTCCATGCTCCATATCTCGGGAGATAATAAAGTCGACAGGGAAAGACTGCACAAATGTCTCCACTCTCTTCAAATGACGAGCCCAAATTGGCTCCTTTTAGCTTCGCTCGACTCTGCTCGGCACCAACTGAGCGCAAACCCCGACACCATCTTCGATAAAACTGTCGAACTCGCAAAAGAAGCGAAAACCGCGATTGGTAAAATCCCGGGAGTTTCAATTCTTGACATTAAGGATTTTGCCGACTTTCCCGATTTGGACCCTTTGAGGATCACGATCGGCGTGTGGAGGCTCGGGATATCGGGATTTCAAGCGAAAGAGGTACTTGATGATGAGCTTGGAATTGTGCCGGAGTTTGTGAGCACGAATTCGGTCACGCTAGCTTTCAGTCTAGGGACGATGAGCGAACACGTTGAGCGGCTAGTGTCGGGATTAAAGAGTTTATCGAAGAGATTCTTTTCGGAGACAAATGAAAAATTGGACAACAAAATTCATGCGTCCTTCGCTCGGAAGTCGATGCCTATCGACAGTCCAGTGATGAGGCTGAGTCCTCGGTAGGCATTTTTCGCGAGGAAGATGAAAATGAAGTTCGATAAAGATTGTGTGGGGGAAGTTTGTGGAGAGTTTGTTTGTCCTTATCCACCCGGGATCCCGGTTTTGGTCCCGGGGGAGGTTATTACCGAGCAGGTGCTTAGTTATCTGGAGAAGATTAAACGACAAGGCGGATTTGTGATCGGGACTGTCGACACTAAGCTGGACTCTATTGTTGTGTGTGGAAAGTGAAATAAAAAACTTGAGAGCTTGAAAATGTTGTTGACAGGGGAAACGGAATAAAAGTGAGGTTCTTTCAGTAGAGGGTTTTATGGTTTGAGCTAATAATGTTATGTGAGATTTGGAAAGTTTATGATTTAACTCGCAACCAATCGCCACCAAAACATCTCACTATATAATCTGTGTTGATTGAGACTCATTAGATTTCCAGTGGGATAAGCTAAAGAACCCACATTTCTATTATCAGATAACAAGAACGTTAACAAATGATTTACAAGATCCTAGCTACAAAATTTTGTAACCTGCAAAATATTTTCAACAACATTTGAAATCCCAATTTAGTGTTCTATTACCTCTTTTGGAAGTTAAGCGTCTTGATACAGTAAGCGTACGTGAAAGCGAAACAAAGTGCGAAACAGATCAATATAGCAATGAGAGGACCTTCGAATTCAGGATCGTATCCGAAGTGCTCCTGTATATAGGTTTTGATCATCGGCCGTGTTGATTCCCCTGCAACACTAATTGTATCCTCGACATCTCCATACTGTCCGATTATCAGCCCGTAAATGGTCCATGCGGTCGGCGAAATCCAACTGTACCATCTCCACCATGTAGGGATACTCTAATATCCGTCAAAGTAGTCGAGGAAAAAAAAACAAAAAAAAAAACGATTTAGACGCTCACTCATGTGAAATGGTTGACTAATTGTCACAACGTACTCAGTAAAGTCACTGTCTGGCAACCATACTTTTTCAACAAATGTATTTACTTTCACACTCGAATGTCATACTGTAATTTTTCTATAAACTAAGGTGTATTCATTTGGGATTTCTAAAGACTTTATAAGACTTTAAAAATCCTGGTGTATCTAAATTTTAGACCTTTTAGGACTTTTAAAAGTCTTGGGTTATTCACTTCGGATTTTAAAAAGTATTACAAAATCCTGAGGTATTTAACTCATTTGAGACTATGATTTGTGAATATTTTCTAAGATTTGTTGGGATTTCTAAAGAAAAAAACCTTATACGAAATCTCACTCCAAATCCCATCTCCAGACTTAAGATTTCATAGGATTCCTCCAAAATCTTAAAATCTTAAAAAGTCTCAAAATGTCACTCGAAATCCCAAACGAATACACACCCCTAAAGTTTGACATTTTATAATACAAGTATATGCAATTTTCATGAGAAAGTATATGGCTGTCTAACGATTAGCATTTGTGAAAATGAAAAAAAACACGATGTGTGTTTTTTTATTAAAAAACTCACCGGTCTTGGGACGAAGAAGCCCGAGAACAGATTGAACAGCGCGTAGAAAGCGCCCGCGAAAACCGCCGCCAGCTGTTGGTTGGGCGTGAGGGACACAGCCATCATCCCGTAGTACGTGAAGTAGAGGAACGTGACGAAATTGACCGCGAAAAACCACAAGTACTTGGCCGCGGTCCACTCAAAGCCTAGCATGGCGTACACGATCAACGTGTAGTACGTCGTCTGGAAGAGAACATACGGTATCTCGAGCACCACGTGGGCCATGGCGTAGGGCAGTGCCGAGTACATTCCGGCAGCTTTTTCCCGGTAAAATACGGTTCGCTCGACTAGGACGACTTGCTGGACAGTCGAGCCGTTGGTGATTCCGAGGAGCAAAATTGTGGCATACATTGCACCGATAATGGTCAATAGATCAGTATCTGTATTCCTGAAAAAGCACCAAAAAATATTGAGAGAACGAGATGAAAAAAATCGAATTAGCGACAAAACGGATATTTTTTCAAAGATTCTGTTTTACCCTGTTGAGTGCTGACCTGTTTTTGCCGACTTTCCAGAAGATTGTGCCGAGAAGTAAGGCGCTTGCCAAGGTGAAGATGTACCTGACGAGATTATAGTCAGGGCTTCTCCAGTAAGTCCACCATTGCTTCCAAAGGCAGGACTTGAATTGTCCCCACATGGACTGCGAGTATTGTGTGTCGAAAGACAAATCTTTTGAATCGGGAGTTGGTGTATTGCTCATTTCTTTCACCAATGCTTTGTTTTGCCTAAGTTGATAAACCGGGTTAGAACTTAACACGACATATCTAGTTGAATATATTTCTTTTTTTTTTTTTTTTCATATTTGGAGTTGTGGGAATGAATTTTGCGCGGTTTTTACTGATATATGTCTGATGATTTGTAGTGTTCGGCAAAATCTATTCCGAGCCTGGCTTCAGTTGCCACCGAGCTGACTTCGAGCATCCATGTCGCCGGATTACACTTGTCTTTTATTCTAGGAACTCCCGGAATCGCCTATATTGCACGACAGGTAGCTAGCATCTTTAATTTTATTCTCAATGACAAATTAGTAAAAAGGGAAAAGATAACAAAGAAAAAATGAAGTATCTACCTCAAAGTATTCAATAACCTTCTTCGACTCTTGGCCTAATGGTCCTGCATAGATCACCTGCCCGCCTCGTTTCATTAGAAGCAACTGGCAACAAAAGGTTCGTTTGAGAGCAGAATCATACCAGAAGGCCGACTCAATAATAAAAAGAAAAAACGAGACTAATTATTTATTACCTCGTCGAAAGCTTCGAAAATATCTATACTCGGTTGATGGATTGTGCAGACAACAGTTCTCCCAGTATCCACTGTGTTTCGAACAGTTCTCATTACAATAGCTGCCGCACGTGCATCGAGGCCAGAAGTCGGCTCATCCATGAAGATAATCGAAGGATTCGCAACAAGTTCAACGGCTATCGTCAGTCGTTTTCTCTGCTCGGTCGACAATCCACTTTCTCCCGGGATCCCAACAATGGCATCTTTCAAATCATCCAGCTCAACCAAATCCATCACCTCATCAACGAAAGCCTGTTCGAATCCAAATACAAGGATTTCAAATTTCTTGAGTGATTTTAGCATGTGTTTTTTTTTTTTCTTTTTTTCGTTTTTTCAAAACTTACGATTACAAAGCCTCACCATTTTTTGTTCTCGCGTTACTTCTTTAGGGAGGCGAAGGAAGGCGGAGAAAATCAACGACTCGTGGACAGTCACTTGAGGCGAGTGGATATCAGTTTGTTCGCAATATCCCGAAATTCTTGCGAAAGTTTCTTGATTCTTGGGGAATCCGGATATTCGGATATCCCCTTGTACATAACCTCCCGTTTTTCGTCCTGCAAGAACATCCATGAGCGTAGTTTTCCCGGCCCCACTGACCCCCATTAATGCCGTCAAAACTCCCGGCCTAAATGCACCTGTCACCTCAATGAGTAGCTGCAGTTTGTCCTCTTTTACTTCATGTTCCTTCATTTCCTGTCAGGTAATAAATATATTATTCAAGAAAAGAAGAAGAAAAAAACTAGTTTATTCATGACAACTTCTTTTTCTTACAGATGGCATATCCACGAAGTAGTTCACGCTGTCGAAAGACATGACGAGAGGGGTGAATGGTAAAACCATCCCTTTCTTCGACTTTGTTGAACTTTGTGCATCGTTTGTTGCACCATCAAGATCAGCTCCCTTCACCTCCTTGGATATTATTGTGGCATGTTTGCTCACAAGAGCTGTATAAGGAAAAAAAATGGAAAATATGAAAAACCAAATTCAATGAATTATCAACTCATAAAAAATAAGCTAGTAGTAGAGTATACTCGGTATATAACTTACGATTTAGATACATAAGGGAGATTGTGAAAAGAACGTTGAAGAGTATGGTAAAGCCAATAAGGGCAATGAGACCAATCCAATACCAGTTCTCGTCGGGTGGAATGTTGAAGTGGTTTAGTGTGGCGGTGCCTAATCTTGTGGTATTGTCCGAAGCCTGCACATGAATCGTAAGAAAATAAATAATAATAATAATATTAAAAAAAAAGATGCGTAGGTTCTTAGGCTCACCAATTTGTTCATCCATCTCGGAGCAAACATTTCGTTCACTACTAACGCGTTGTAGGCATAGCTCAAGGGGAAAACCCAGTAACTCCAACCCAACCAATCTGGGATCTGATCTGCATTTTGAAAACAAATTTATTTTTTTAGCATCGATCTTTCATGAATCTAAAAAGGAAACTTTCGAAAAAGTTTAAAATAAGTAAAGAAAATTGAAAAGCAAAAAAAAAAAAAATAACTAAAACAATGTAAGAAGTTCAAAAAATATGTTTGATGAGATACACTCTGTCGACTGGACCTAACGTAAGATTTTTCCAGTTCATTTTCTCCTCTTNAAAATGTCACACACTTAAATGTTAGCTCCTTCAACTTTTAATATAATGCCAAAAAAAAAAGTCACATGCTAAGAGCATATTTTACCTACTCGGTTCAGGAGCGAAACCGATTGTATAATAAGTCGTGACTGTCCAAACAGTCGCCTCAATCACAGATATCGGTACCCTCAGCAGAAAACTCGGCAGAGTGAAAGCCCAAGCAGAGTGGAAAAGAAGGTCTCGATGCTTGTAAAAAACGGGAAGCCTTTTCATCGTGAGCGAAAGCTCTAGAATTCCATTGAAGGTATTGCACGTCATGCTGAATAAAAGAGCGCCTACGTATAAAGCACTGTCCTGCTCGTTTCTAGTCTGCATACGGGTCCTCAAGAACAAAGTTGCCGCAACTAAAGCAACTACGAATATTTGGACACTCTTGAAAATGTAGACGAAAGAGTTTCGTCTGATCAAAAGCCATTCCTTGTCGAGGTTGGCTTTGAAAAGGTCCCATTTTGGGACAGAGTTTTTTTCGAACACGAGAGCCGCCAGGTGGCTTGCTGACTTGTCGTAAGGGATGGATAGCTCGTTTTTGAGACTTTGGCCGACGTGGAAAATTTTGAACCTGTTTGCAAACTCGGCTACTGAAATGTAGTCATACGGTTTGCTCTTGTCAGCCCAGTATTGCTCTTGATCTTTTCTTGATGTCACCTATTAGAGTATTTTCGGACCACTTAATGGATATTGAAATTGAAGCGTCTAAAAGCATCGGTTATTATGTTTGAAGCATTATTATACCTCCTGCAAGAAATCGGCGATTCCTTTTCTTTCGGGGCATTTGAAACCGCAGCTATCGAAGAATTCAACGACGTGCTCTTTTGGTCCTTGATAGACAATCTGGCCTTCGGACAAGAGAAAAATATCGTCAAAAAGATTGAAAGTCTCGGGAGATGGTTGGAGGAGGGACATGAAAATGGTGGCCTCAGTTAAATGTGCGATTTGCTGCAAACACTTGACTATCTGAAATGTCGTGGAGCTGTCGAGCCCCGTCGATATCTCGTCCATAAAGAGTGTCGTTTTTGGTCCAACCATCATCTCCCCTGTATTGAAAGAAGTTCGGTAAATATGACAATATACATCCAAACATAAAATGATTTAAAATTTTCATATTTATATAAAGAAAATACCTGTAGTAACACGCTTCTTTTCTCCTCCTGATATACCTCGTGACATCTCATCTCCAACGACAGTATCTCTACACCTGTCAAGTCCTAATATCTACACGACATAGAAATATATTACTAATGAAAATCATTAAAAATAAATAAATAAATCATTTATTTGTATAATTCTCTTATGTAAGAATAATAAAAACAACTGCTTATACCTTGAGTGTGTAGTCTGTAATAAGACTGGTCTTCTGTCCTTCCACAGAAGTTGCCTGTCGGGAAACAAGACGACTGCATTAGCCAATATTTTACGCGTTCGACTTCATGATTTGATTGGTTTTTCCATTACCTTCATGAAAAGATCAACTTCGGCCTCTGGCAAAATGTCTGCTTCTCGTTCCCTTCTTGCAAGCTCGGTCAAGAGATCTACTTGATATGCAAGACGATTACCAAATGCTTAATAAATACGAATATATGTACATAACAATAAATCAACACTTTTGATGAAACTAATGTTTTATTTGCTCGTCAATGTAGCTTATTCGATCATATCTAATTTATCAATTATACAAAATGTGATATTAACATATAAAAAACATTACACAGAATTTTTATCTTGAATGTAACCAAGCATGTAAACATACCGTAACGCCATCCAACGCCTTGGCATCTTGCCGAGAAATCGAGAGTCTCTTGAACTGTCATTTCTCCCACATGAACATCGTTTTGGCTCACATACGCAGATGTTCTCTGCGGCACAAATTCATCGAGCATATATCCATTGTACGTGATTTCTCCCATTCTCTATTTCCAACCAATTCAAAACAACATCAAAATTATTACCAAAACACAATCATCATAGAAGTAATTGTAATAATCGAACCTTTAGAGTATTGTCTAGTCTTCCCGATAGAGCCAACATAAGTGTGGTCTTCCCTGAAGATGGTGGTCCAAGTAGAAGGGTCATCCTATCATGAGCCGAAACTCAAATCGTAAAGTACTAAACAATGCTAACGATCAAAAATTCAAAAACCCAAACATTATGGCCCAAAACTTTCGAAACGAAGTTTTGACGAAAAAAGTTACCGAGAGGGCTTTACAATGCCTGACACGTCTTTTAGTATCGTGACTCGGGTTTTCCGAGCTACTCCTTTTAAACCAAGACAACTCAATAGCTTTTCCGCAAGGTCGAAAACGGCATTAGGGAGAGTCGGAATTGCCCTTCCCTTGTCGACAAACGAGTCGGCCTCTGCGTTCAAATGCTCGAACCTAACCTCTACTTGAGGAAGGTTTATTCCAACTCTGTCAAATTCGTAAGTAATCAACAACCAAAAACAGAACAAAATAACAGAACATATGAGGAACAAATAAATCTTTTTTTTTTTAATTACAATAGAAATAAAATGAAAATAAGTAAAAAGTAAAAGTGAAAATAGTTACCGATCGATACGGTTCTTGAGCTTCGAGAGGAATTTGTCGTTATCTTCGTCGGCGACCTTAAAGAACCGGTCGATGAACTCCCGCCGGCGGGTCGTGCCGAGCTTCCTCACGTCGACGACACGAATGACGTCATCATCGTCGGAGAACGATTTAAGAACAGTTTTTCGTAGACGGTCGTAGGTTGGAAGCTTTTGCAGCGCCGCCCACCGGAGGGTCTCCTCGTCCGCCGACAAATTCTCCCGCGCACTTCTCATGGGGTTATTTTTCTGGTGAGAATTAGGGATAAAATGAAAAATGAATAAATAAATAAATAAAATTAAAACAGTAGTAAGGAGTCATGCCCCCAATTTTAAAAAGATGGAAAACAGAACAATATTCGAACTTGGGTACTTTGAGATGAAAACACAAGCATTAAGAATTTTCAAGATTCGAAACTTTTAAGATTTATATTATAAATTTTATATATATATTTTTTTTTTTGAAATATTTAGGATTTTTTATTGCTGGATTGAAATTTTAATATATCTCAAAAGGTCTAAATAAATTAGATTATCAATAAATTATATGTCACGTTATTANTTATTTAAGTCAAATATGAAAGCTGGCGTGACCACTTATAAAATTTGTGTTTTTACTTTTAGATGGCCGTTGGATGATATAGCTGACCATCCAACGGCTTTTAATCCATTTGCTAAGTCTTTCCTTAGGCAGAACTCTAGCTTAATTTTCTAGGAATATGATAACCAATCTTATACTGTAGATTGACCAAAATATTTATTTGTATTTTTTATTTGGAATGTCTATAGACAAATTGTATTTTATCCTAATTCACCCTCCTTTACGTGTAATTTTATAATTTTTTCTGTTGAAAAATAAATAAATAAAACGATCATTCATTCATATTGCATTTCCTTCCAACCAATCCCCATGTAATCCGTTCCGATCGAAATTAGTTGAATTTCAACAAATATTTCGTCTGACAGCATCTCCAATGTACAAATATTGTAGTTCCATCAATTTTGACAAATGTCAATTAACTAGATGGATTGTGAACCACATATGATGCATAATGTAACCAAATACAATATTGTAAACTTGGCCAAAATAAAATAAATATAAATAAGAAAAAAATAAATTAAATAATTAGATATTTTGAAAATGGTAATAATATTTCTCTCTCTTCTCTTCATTGGTTGAATAGAATGTGAAATAGAATGTGGATGAACCACATTCTTCTCCACATTGTAGACATTAATTATGTCCACCTCATCACTACGTTTGTAATAACATTGTACATTGGAGGAGTAAAAGTGGAGACATTGCTAAATTTGTTAATGTAAAGTGTAATTTACTACAACTACATTTGAGCATTGAAGACGCTCTGAAATAGTTTTTCATAAAGTTCTAAATGGTGTTAGGCTGCCGCTAGGTGGCGTGTTGGGACCTAACACCAAGGTAGTGATTAGTCAAGCCTAAGCGGATCATAAAAATACTATAAATTTATTTATATGTAAAATTATACATAACTGACAAATTATATTTTATAAAATATATTAATTTAGTATGATTAAATACATGGAAGGGGCAACCGAAGGTGGTATTTGGTCGAAAAATGAAGCACATAAATTCGATGCTAGAAGGAGAACTACTTGCTCTATGGTGCCCATATGGGCACTATAGAATTTCTGGATCAAAATTGCTAAAGAAAAGAATTTATATTTCGTCCAAGTAAAAATAGACTCCATAGGTGTTGTAAAAACAGTTACAAATCCTAAGATCGAATATTGTGGAGTGATTGCAGCTGACATTAAGGGGATATCAGATGAGTCACATAATTGTTTTATTTCTCACGTATCTAGATTAATCAATCATGAGGCGCATATAATTTCACACATCTCACTGTTTGGGAGAAAGGTGATTTTCCTTCATGATGATTAAGCTTGTAACTAAGAATTTGAATTAATATATATGTTGTTACTTGTTGTAATATATATATATATATATATATATATATATGATGTGGTTCAAATGAGAACCAAGTCCTAGCGTGAGAACCGCTATTTATAGTTGCAAGTAGTACTATGATTTATTGTATTTTAATGCTAACTTTAACATGGATCTATTTTTTTAAAAATAGCAACACAATTTATATTAGCATTTATGGAAATGATAGCACCATGTGATATTAAAAATAACATCATATACAATAAAAAATAGCATCAAATACGGTTCTCACGGTTCTCACACCAGGACTAGTTTTTATTTGAACCACTCTATATATATATATTAATTTTATAAACTATATTATATTAATTTACATAATTATTATAATTTTTTATGGTTATTGTAAATTTCATATATAAAAATCAAAATTTATTTTTGATATAATATAAAAAACAGATATATAAAAAAATATACGGACGCCTAGGCGTGTTGTAGACTGCTTAATTCCTCTAGACGTGACTAATTGCGCTTAATTATCCTTGAAGGGCCGCCTAGACAAAAATGGGGTGTCAGGCCCGACTTTTAAGTACAGCGAGACTCACTTTTTCGTTAGTATTTTTGACGGATTTTTACGATTTGAATTACTATTTTTTCGACAATTGAAATATTTCCAAAAATTCCAACAAAACCTTCTACAATAATAAATCGTTGAAAAAATAGTTGTTCTATTCATCAA